ACTCGATTCCTGTCCCATCTCACCGCTGCACGACCTCGGTAGGTTGCCGATGCTTTCATTGATACCATGTGTTAGTGTTTGTAATTTGTGGATGAAGTATGCCTCCCTTTGTTCCCGTTCACGAGTCCCGCGGAAGCCTGACTGGAGGAGGGTGACTCGTATTTTCTCGAATGAGTGCCCTGGCAAGTTCAGATGCTTGGAAAAAGGCAGATCTGGCAGACTGCGTGCGTGGGCTCTGTGGTTATTGAAACGCAGTCTGAATGCCGTGCCAGTCTGATCGATGTACTGTTGGCCACAGACATCGCAATGCAGCACGTATATTACGTTCTGGCTGTCACAATTCAGCGTGTCCTTAATTTTGAATGTGGAGTCTGAGGACGAAGCCTCGGCAACAGAGGTTGTGGTCATGTGTTCGCAGACTTGGCAACCCCATTCACTGCTTTCAGACTCGGTCGTCTTAGCTCTAACCAGGATGTCTTTTATGTTTTTTACGCGGCGGTAGACCACTCGCGGCGGCTCCGTGAAAATTGAGGATCGACGCGCACTATGCTGTATAATGTTAAAATGTTTTGAAAGGATATTGCTGAGGTGCGGTAGTGTGGACGAGTACGTGATGACAAGGCTAGTTTGGTTTTTCGGATGGCGTGGTTTGGAGCCCGACAAAATTTCATTCCTATCTAAACTACGTGCCCGGCTTATAGCATCATCGATTATTTTATCTGGGCACTCTTTTGCCACAAGGGCCGTTTTAAGATCCTTGGCATGACCTTCGAAATCTGACATGTCCGAACGAATTCGGCGGTATCAGTGTGCTTGCGAGTCATGATGGCATGGCTGTCTTGCAGTGATGCGGATGGCTACTCTTGAAATGTAGGTACTGATGGCGATCCGTTGGTTTTTTGTATAGGCCCCTGCAAATTCGTTTCTCATTAATTTGAACAGTGACATCGAGAGAGTTTATAGTTGACTTAGAGTAGGTGTGTGTGAACGAGATTGATGAGTGAGTTGAATTAAAATCATCCATGAATGACAGCAGACTTTCCTCTCCGTGGTGCCAAATAATATATATATATATATATATATATATATATATATATATATATATATATATATATATATATATATATATATATATATATATATATATATATATATATATATTCCGCCCATATTCTTGTAGGTTTCTAAATAAGTTACCTCATTACCGCTTTAGTGAAGAGAAAAATGCAGCAAACTGTGTTTGCCACACATTACGTGTTGCCGGAGGCAAGGCTCATTTCCGTCTTCTATTGCTCATTTCTGCGGTCCGCATCACGTCGACAAGCTCCAAAAACACTTACGGGTGACCCTGGGATCCTGTGACCTCTGCCACCAGTCACTTCGTTGGCGCATCTTCGTGCTGCACATCAGGTGCTCCCTGCCGGGCGCCACAAGTCGTCCGGTCTGCGTGTATACGTTACCCGTTATTGTTCGCGTTGATCGTCCCCGCGGGCTTCAGCGTGGACGTGCCGCGGATAACAAGTTCGTCGTCACGATCAACGGCGACCTCGGCCGTGCCTCCCACGCACACTGCCTCCATTCCATGCTGCGGGAGAGCACGAGCATCGCCCATTGAGGCAAGGCATTATTAAAGCTACGCTGGGCCAAGCGAACTTTTCCGTTCGTCAGCTTGCACGTGCGGGGATGTGTTTTATAAAGCTCTCGTTCCCTCCCTGTGACCAAATACCTAACGCTCTTGTCAATGAGATCGACAACGGTAATAGAAGCGCCAGAAGGCAAAGAAGAAAAGAGGCGCCAAGTAATCAGCGAGACACTCGGCACCCAATCAGCCACAGCGTCTGCGAATCCATCGCACAGCGTGTTGCACCCCGACACCCGATACACGCAGAACCGGCAATCGGAGGCACTGCGCCCACTCTCAACTTCTGGCCCAATCATCGGCCCTGGGGCCTGCGACACCGGATACACCGGCGCACCGCGAGAGGTCTCGAGTAGCGGTGAGGAAGCCCGTTGCGTACTCACCCCGCCCCTTCGATGAGGCACCGCACACGAACTGCAAATGTGCGGAAATGAGCATACCGTGGGTGCCGGACCTTATGCCTGGCGTAGTGACCTCCGTGGACGCCTTGTTGCACGGCATGCGTAATCGAGACAGTACTCGTCCTTTTCTGGGTCGCCAGCAAAAGAGGCATCTGCTTGCAGAGGCCAGCTAATCGGTGCTGCTCTCATGTCACTCCTCGCACGGACTGTAACGAGGCCCTATTATGCACCCGACAGATCGGTCTTCATGGCATCACGGCACTTCATGCAAACACTCAGGGAAGGGCTTTTTAATCGGTGTTTTACACTGAACTGCACACGAATACGTGACACGACTGTTCCAGTTCGCAACTTTCTGCTGCCTGTCGATAATGGTACGTATCTACTCACTACGAGTGCATAGTTCATAACTGGCTCGTGCAGCTTAAGTTCCACGTGCGCGCACATGAGTTGAACTCCACTTCTGCCTCATTCATCATTTTGCCGCGGCGAGCTCCAGCGGGATGGTAAACAGGAAGATTAAAAGTGCCCTTTACAAGTAACGTACCAGCCGATATACCAGCTTCTGTGATAGTTACGTATATAAATAATGGTACAATATGCTCACTTGGGAGCCGTCTCGGCGCTAAACCATGCAGTCAAACAATAAAAACGAAAGTTATTAAGCGAAGGCTGTGTTGCACTGACTCGACAACATAATGCACAAGATATCAAAAAAAGCGGGACCAAAAAAAAAGAAAAAAGGAAATCAAATTCACAACTCGACAACAAAATGTATATGCTAAATGTAGAGTGCCTGAAGCGAGAGTTTCTGAAAAGAGATGGTGCCTCCAACTATAGTTTTTATATATATACCACTTCGAGCTGTTTACATTTGACACATATTTAAGTACTCCATCGTTTTTTCTATATATTAAATGCGACTCCGGTGGCAGGTATTTGAAGCTGCGATGTCGTGCTGAGCTGCACAACGACGCATATGCATCTGGAACGGCATTTATTCATAAGACGCGTGTCCATGTGGTTTAAAACACACAGCAGAGCCCTATATGTTGACTACATACGTTAAAGCGTATCTGTCGAATGCGTTACTCAACACGGACCAGAGTATACAGTATAGTGAAAACACACTGAACACAACTAACACGCATCATGCAGCGATCTATTGATCCATCTGCTGAAAAGTCCATATATCAGCTGATGTGTTCTATAAAACATTTATTTAACACTTACCAGGATAATTTTGCTGCTGCACGTATGTTATGAAAAGCATGCAACTACCTTTGCATCAATTGACTTCTAAAACACGATACCGTAAAAGCAATTAAATCTCAAGTGGAACGTAAAAATTTTTTTATCCGTGTCACAAACGAACGCTGCCAATCCCGAGATTAGTGACAATTCGTCACTCTTAAGCGAAAATATTTGTGCACACATTTTGTTTCATATTTTTGTGTGTCTTTGCATTATTATACCACATTTATATTTTTATGACGCTTAACATAATCGCGTATATTTCCGTTATTCAACTGTTGCAGCTTATCATTGAATGCTACTTTGTTGCATTCGGCTGGTTGATTGTAACTTTATTTCATTGACCTGCAGATTTTATGGCGACCCGTGCTCAGGTGTCACACGATGGGACGTAAAGGTATTGTCCGACGTCACGGGTAGCCACGCTATCGCGGGCATGCTCGACGGTCCAGAGTTGGTCGCCAGGGTCAGCGATAGGGTCTCGGAGTTACACTCGTTAGTGTGCTGAGCTTTGCAATCCTATAGCATGTGTGAGTGTAGCAGTTTCCTCTTTGCATATCGTACATGTATCCTTTTTTTTTGCACTTCTGGAAATATCCACTTCAGTTAAAAATGGATTCAGGAAGGTATTTGTTTGCAGTTGGTACACGGTCACTGCTTGCACCCTGTTTATGTCTTGCTCGGGTGGTGGGGTGTTCTTCTGCTTTGCCTTTCTCTTTTTATATTCACCTGCACGCGATTACTAACAGAAGGTCCCATTTCAGTAATGTGATATCGAACCTGCTTCTTTATTATACACCCCAGAGCACGTATTTCATTGCAAATAACCAAATATTTCTCATTTGATTTTAAGCATGCCCACAATGAGGCAGCAAGAGAGATAAATAAACGAAGGAGAAAGGCAGGGAGCTTAATCAAGCTTTGGCTCTGTTGGAATTGCTCTTCACGTGGGGTGGGGGAAACCAGTCCTGTTGTTTGTGTTTCGTCTCCGTTTTTTGTGTTTTTCAAGTTTTCCCTTGTGGGGAAAACTCTCACAGCTTCAGTGGTATTTGCGCCAGCAAAAAGGAAGTCACACGTTAAAGATATGCATAGGCGGCCTCAGTGACAGCGATGATGCGGGGCAAGGGTCACTTGCGTGACTCGCCAACGATACAGACACGGAGCGAGGGAGCTTTTACGCATAATTCTCCAAAGAACTGCGATATTTATCTCTACTTTCATTACTCCAGGCCACTTAAACCGGAGTTCTGTCTAACTTCTGAATATATTAGCATTTTCTGCTTTCGTTCATTCTGCACCCGTTCATGCGGTTCGGGAAATAAAATTATAGCGTAAACGGAAAGAAATTGAAAAGAGAGGCTGGGCTTCATTAGCAAGTTAAATCGAAAAGGAAAGCAGGTAGAGGCGGAGGTTATTTCCGATGAGACGATATTGCACATATTTCGCACGGTGCGCATGGCGAAGCACCTTCGATGCATGAATGAAAACACGCACGAAGAGCCCCCTCCCCCCCCCCCCCCCCACACACACACGTCGGCTCCTTGGATGAAAGGCCCACCACCAGAAGGGCAGTGGGCCGTTGAAGAAAGGGGCGCGCGCCCACCTCAGTGCCGAGAACTTTCGGGGCCGGAGACAGCAAGGAAAAAGGCTGCTGGCACGCTTTCTCGGGATTCCTGAGCTTTGGAACTCCCGCGCCGCCGAGGCCAGCGCGTTGGCCCCTTCGGGGGAGGCCGGCGCTCGGAGAGGGGGCCTGACAGACCTCTTTTGTCCCCCTTGCCGCACCGGTTTCTCAGCGCGGCCGCCGCCGCGCGTGATCGTGCGCTCCAGAAGCATGACGCGGTCCGGCGAAGCCATGTCGGCGACTGACGTTTCTGGGAGAAGCCCGCGAACGATGCAGCGCAGGTGACCCACCGTGTTGTCGTACACTATGCTGCTGTTCCTGCTGCTCGAGCTGTGCTCGGCAGCGGGTCTGGGTGACCACAGGGACCTACATGCCCCGTTCAACATGGCAGGGGTGCAAGGCGAAGTTCGGCTGAGCCCGACCGATTCCACCAGCGTCAACATAACGGTGCGTCTCGTCGGGCCCCCAGGCGAGTTCAGCTGGAGCGTGCGCGAGATGCCGGCACTGTTCGATGCGGCGTCGCCGTGTGGAGACTTGGGCCGCGCACGCCACGACCTGTCGCGGCGCCACGGGCCGCTCGAGCTCAACGGCACCGAACTGAGCTTCGAGGACGATCAGCTGCAGCTGCAGGGCTCGGGAAGTGTGTGGGGCCGCGCGCTATTGCTGCAGCAGGGCAAGACGCAGGCATGCGCCAACCTGCTCCTCGAAGAAGGTTCGCTCCACTGGGCCGAAGCGCTGTTTGCTGGCCCACGTGTCGCCGGGCGCGTGCTCTTCCTTGCGTCGCCCAGCGCGTCGCTGCTGACCGTGCTGCTCTTCCAGGCAGGCCGCTCGTCGCGATACACATGGCACCTGCTCGAGGCCGACGTGTTGGATGCGGCACCCGGCTGCCGCTTTCTGCAGATGCTCTACGATCCGGACCGCGCTGACGGCGAAGGCTGCGGACGGAGCGCGCACGAACGTTGCCGTGCGGGTGATCTGACCGCCAAACACGGGCCCCTGAGCGTCGGCTCGCCGCGCGGATCGCGCCGCGCCGTACTGGACACGCACTTGCCGCTCGGCCACCGGCGGCTCTTCCTGGCGCTTCGCGAAGAGGACACCATGGCGTTTGCAGCGTGTGCACCGCTACGCGTGCTCGAGGCACGCACAGTGCATGCCAAGTTTCCGGATGGTGGCCAACTCAGCTTCACCCAGCAGAGCCCCTTTCAGCCGACGCTACTGCGCGCAAAGGGGCTGCTGGGCGCCAGCTTCGCAGTGCATCCGGCCCCTTACTGCGAGGGACCACTGCGTGGAGCCCCGGCCTATCAGCTCTTGGCCCCAGTATCTCTGGAACCGCAGCTCGTTCTCTTCGGACCCCGTCGCATCATCGGCCGCTGGATATCCGTGACGCGTGCCGATGGCGGCCAGGCCGAGTGCGCGCGCGTCGGTTTTCCCGGACCTACTGTGGTGGGCAAGGCAACCTTTCATTACCCCGTCTCCGGTCAGGTGTTTCTGCGTCAGGACGCCGATGACGAACAGTCGGAGACTGCTGTGCTCGTTAAATTCGACCCGTACGGTTTCAATGACACCACCCAGTACAAACTGCAGGTGCACGAGCGCCGGCCGGGCCGTGACTTTTACAACTGGACCGCGCGGTGCGTGAGCGCCGGCGACGTATTCGACCCCCTCAAGGTGGGATCGGGACCGTGTCCACATCCTTTGCTGTGTCCCATTGGTGCCTTGACAGCGAAGGGAGCCAAGTTGACGGTGCCCAAGAACTTCTTTTACACGGACCTACACCTGCCGCTGTCGGGTCCGAACAGCGTACTGCAGCGTTCGATGGTGCTGCACGACAGTGGAGCACCACCGCACCGCGGTGACCGGCTGGCGTGTGCCCATGTGCTTCCCCTGCACCCGATGTCGGCGGCCGTGCGACGCTGGCTGCCCGCCGAGCAGGGCGTCCTCGGCTATATGGTCTGGTCGCAGGACACTCCCGAGGACACTGTGCACGTGGAAGTGCGCCTTCGAGGACTAGGTGGTCGGGCGAGTGAGTACCGGGTGCACGCTTTGCCGGTGCCACTCGAGCAGCACTTCCCCTGCAAGGCCGTGCGCGAGGCCCACGGTGCTGTCACGGAGCTGAGCGACCGCTACGGGAATCTGGCCGGCAGGAATGACGAGTCACTGAAGGCACTTGACACCGAGCTGCAGCTGTTCGGCAACACCAGCGTGGTGGGGAAGTCAGTGGTCATCCAGATGGGTGAGCGCCGCTCAGCCTGCGGCACCATCTTGCCCGAGATAGAGTCCCGCCAGGGCCGCGAGCTAGTGGCCATAGCCACCTTTGACCACCCGGAATCTGCATTGCAGGGCTACATTCGGCTGGTGAGCAGCCCTCAGAGTTTTCTCGTAGTGTGATTAGCCTGAACGATGTGTTCTATGCATGCAGAGGCAGCTCGAGTACAAAGATGGCGGCACCAGTGACACGTTCATCTTGGTTGACTTGCGCTATCCAGGGAAGTACAACCGAAACCAGGTAAGTCACCATTTCTTCGTGCGTAAAGCATCCGTGATGTTGCGCAGACATGAGAGGCTAACGACGTATCACGGGTCCTTGACTGAGAAAGGTAACCATTGCTAGAAAAGTAAAGCCGTGCACTGAGAGTGAGCGAGGTACACAAAGTGATCCTGTCGTTGTTGAGATAAACATTTAGACTGAGTAAGGTACATTGCAGCATTATACCTCATGTCTAGAAAAAAAAAGATGACGCCTAAGTAAGGCTGCTAAGGAATGCGGCATGGGGGGGGGAGGGGGGCAAGCACCTCCACTGCCCCATCCTTCCTCTTTCCGTGATTGGTGCATACGTACATAGCCGAAGACTATGTTAATTTCACTGTGGCTCTCTCATACATAGACCAGGGGTCACCATTGGGCCGTGTACGTGAACCAAGTGGCGCACGATGCTGTGGAGAAGAGCGAAAAGTCACGTTGCATTGCGGCCGGCTACCGCTGGAACCCCTACCTTGCCCAATCGGACAAGGTAAGACGGCGATTCTCGAAGTTTCCGGAACGCGTTCTTGAGGCTCGTGTACATGTGCGCGCGCACTGCAGGACAGCTACCACAGCGAGTGCAGCCCACATACACCTCTCCGGTGCGAGATGGGCGACCTGTCGGGAAAGCTGGGGCAGCTCAGCATCGGAACGGGCCCCGCCATTTACACAGACACAAACCTACCACTGGTTGGAAACTTCTCAGGTACAGAAGCCATTTTGCTCTTTAGCTCACGGGAAGTGACCTACGTTTACGTACTTTCACCTGGACAAGATACTTCCTCGATGTGCACTCGGCGACATTACAAGAGGTTATGCTCGTCACTCCTTGATTTTTATTCTTTTTTCTTTACAGGAGACCTAAATAAAACTGCTCGTGTGCCACACTCACATTCTGAGTGAGGGACAAGCTTAATTTTTTCCTAGAGTAAACGCGTTGCGTTCCATTGAGGCAAGCGCTTGCCGCTGCCGTTTTGAGATTGCCTGCCATTTTGGCTACCGCGTTTTCCGAACAGGTGAATCTGAGAAAATCTACCAAGCAACTTGACTGCAACGTCTTTCTGTGTCACCTTGAGCGCGAGTGGACACGTGCACATGGAGCTAAGGCAAGCGTTCCGGTGTTCATGGTTATCGCAATAGCGACACACTTCTCCCTATACGAAAATGTACGTGCACAAACATACTGTGTACAGTTAGGACCCTACGAACGGTCGGGTGATTTCCTTTTTTTCAGTATATATGCTCACTTAATAGACCCTTTTCATAATTCGCAAGTGCGCTTCTCGGCGCTGCATCTTTGCCGTATACTAATGGCGGCACCTGTCCTACTTCAAATGAAGACCAGGTCCTAGTTAAACACGCTGGGGCTTACCTATTACGTGCATTGATGTCGAGATATCTAAACCTTCATTTTCTATGTCTTAGTGCAAATAAACTGCGCTTGAACACTCTGTTTGCAGAAAGTGACTAGCCGCCATTAGTAGGGCAAACTGCATAGCAGGAAAGCCAGCTTTACAATTATGAAAATGGTACGTGCAAATTGATAGAAGAAAACAGCGCGAAACTACAAAGACAAAAAAAAGCAATCACGACTTGCGCTGACTATCAAAAACTGCGTTAATTTTTTCACTGCAAGTATAGACACATTCTGGAAAGGAGCAAACAGAGGGAATGGAGACGATTTTCTTATTACATGCGTAGATGCACACGCGGACAAATATGACGATTGATGTGTGGGGTTTAACGTCCCAAAACCACAATTTGATTACGAGAAACGCCGTAGTGGAGGCCTCCGAAAATTTCGACCACCTGGGGTTTTTTAAAGTGCACCCAAATTAACGGGCATACGGGCCTACAGCATTTTCGTGGACGAATATGGTGTGGGATGAACCATTAACACTAAGCACAAAATCTTGATCTTTACAGGGTAGCCAGCCGGTCTGAGAACTGGCTAACCTCCCTGTCTTTCCTCATTTATTCCTCCTCCTCCTCCTGCTCCTTGATCTTGGCATTTGTTATGATGTTGGTCGATAGAAGCCACGACTGCAGCGGGTTCAATTGTGCTCGTATGCCAATTAGCTTTAAACGTGGTTCTCTGAAATATGTTTGCACCGCAACTTACTTTTATTAAACAAGGCTTCACTTGAAGGAGAAATTTCTCACTCTTTTATACAGCACCGAGAACTTTCTCTTCAGTATTGAACAAGGAAAATAAGATGAATTGACGAGCTCGGTCTTTTAAGTTGTCACAATTGCTCAGATGAACCCCCCCCCCCCCCCCAAAAAAAAAAAAAAGAAGCCGGTGGAAGCATACAGATATTCAAGTGTTTTTCAACTGAAATGTAGAAATGATACAACGAAAGCGATAGGGTTCATTGACCAGATATACCTAAACGTAAAGTTGGCGTTATATGTGGCGGCTGAGGCTGAAAGGACGTTCAGATTCGTCGCGACAGTCATGTGTGACGCTGGCTACCACTCTTCTGCAGGGCTGTATCTGGCACATGTGCACGAGTTCACGCAGGGAAGCACAGGTCTCGGAGAAGTGAACGGGTAGATTGCCGTTTTTGTTCAATTGGCACCGCGCGCATAAATGAACACGATGACACGTATGTGGACAGTTAGTTGTTCTTTCTATTAATTATGGGAAACTCCTTATCATTTCCACGCGAAAAAGGAGAAGAAAGGAAAATCAATTGAATGTCCCCTTTGTTTTCCTCCGCATCATTGTCTGGTGGAATGGACAGTCTCGTGATGGCGAGGCAAGATCTGAGGATAGTCGAACAGCACGTCCGCACCGCGCTGTGCGTGGTCGACGTCTCTGGAATTACGAGGCAGTGGGCGACATCGAGCATCATTTAGGGCACGCCAAATTTTCCTGCTCCACTCCTCCTCCCGTATCGTCTCAATCTTTCCTCCTTCCATTTTCCTTCTTGCAAACCATACTTTATTACGATTCATGTACGCTTTTTGTCTCGCACTCTGCGCAGCACGGACACGTGAGAGCGTTGGTTGTTTGCACCGCATCAACTGCAGTACAAGAACTACCTTTCCTTCACGTCGGCCATGCCCTCTCCTGCTGTGCAGCATCAACGTGACCTAATGTTGTTGCATGCTTATATAACCACAAACTCAAAATCTTAGCTAAAGGGGTCAGCCCTAATTATTGTTCATACTGTGCAATTAACGTTTCATTTTTTTCCCTATTGTTTCGTCAGATGGAAATGTCGTGCAGAAAGCGTTGTATATATCCAAGCTGCAGTGTCGACGCTGTTGAGTGCCGTTCTGCGCAAGCGTCAATGGTTTCAATCTTGCACGCAGTGCTGGGCCGCTCCATCATCGTGTTCGCCCAGGACGGCTCGATGCTGCGCAAGGCCTGCGCCAACATCAAGCACGACATCCACCTGGTGCGGCACGTCTCGGTGCGAAAGTTCCCCGGCTTCTCCAGGTACGGCACGCGTGGCCTGCGCGCCGAAAATGTAGCCCACACGCGCGTAGCCGTGCGCGCTGCATTTTCCGCATTCCGGCTGCAAATGCGAAAGCTCGAGTGTTATACGCAAGCGCGAATTCTGGACATGGCGCGCGAAGTCTGCCACTGTGAGGAGCAAGAGAAGTCTGGATACCGAGGAAGCCACACAAAATACGGCCTCTTGTGTTGGTCAAATAGCGCCAGCAACCACTCACACACAATGTCACGTACGATTGTTTTTTGTTCTTTTGTAGACTTTACTCCCATCCAAACAGACTTTGCTGCGCAGCATGCGAAAGTACGAGCATCACCAAGGGCAAAAAAGGATTATCGGCAGGTTTCTGGGACCCGCGAGGAACGAAAGAAATTGGTGTTCCTCGCGACCAGGATCGTGAACCTGGGGTAAAGTTGATATCTGCCGCCACACACAAGTGAACACCTTCGTCTAGTTATCGCTGTAGGTCTTCGTAGGCTACGAGACGTTTGGGGTTCTCTGCGGACTCAGAGCCTTCAAAAGAGGCATAATGCCAGCAGTCTAAACAGGCTTCGGGTTTCATACACTAGTACATAGGCCCCTATATCCGGCAGAACACAACTAATAAATTCCGCTTTGCATGCCAACGAACGTAATTAAAAAATGGCGCATCTTTAACTATACCTCACTGCGCAGAACTTGCATGTAAGCAGAGGAAGCTAATGAGCACTTAAGGCGTATCTGTTGTTAACACATTCCCCAGTATACGTATATGCGGATAGTGCGCAAGACTTGAAAGAAGAAAACTGGCGCGTCGCCCACTGAAATATACGGTCAGACTGAATGGACGAAACTGGAGCAAGAAGGCATATCGAGGCCAAGTTTTGGTTGCAAGCATGCCTGTAAATTGTACTTCTGTTTCATGTTTATAGCATACGCCTTCAAGCAGTAGGATGAGAAGTTGCTTAGTTGCCCCGCCGCGGTGGTCTAGTGGCTAAGGTACTCGGCTTCTGACCCGCAGGTCGTGGGTTAGAATCCCGGCTGCGGCGGCTGCATTTTCGATGGAGGTGGAAATGCTGTAGGCCCGTGTGCTCAGATTTGGGTGCACGTTAAAGAACCCCAGGTGGTCGAAATTTCCGGAGCCCTCCACTACGGCGTCTCTCATATTCATATAGTGGTTTTGGGACGTTAAACCCCACATATCAATCAATCAATCAATCATCGAGAAGTTGCTCAGTCATTTTAGGCATTGCAATGCCTTTGTGCGTCATGACGCACAAAGGACTATCGCGCTATTTATATGCCAACGGGTACGAAAAACATGACGCCGTAAAAAAAAGTACTTCTTTATGCGTATTGCGGCGATGTGACCAATTAATAGAACCCGCCTTCAACGCCATTTCACCCGTGAACGCTTTCCTTGCTGTTTCAAGCGTCGCTCTTTCGACTGAGCAGGTTTTAAAGGGCTGAAAAGTAAGTGCATTCGGTTCAGTGTTCTATCGTTTATTTCCGTGTGTTCGTGCTTTTTTTTTTCCCCATCGACTATATATAAGATATGTGTCTACACTCTTTAGATGCATGATTTAAGGCAGGGGTGGGCAATCTTGAAGCCGAAATGGCGAAGACCACGCGACGAATCTGGGAAGCGGGATGGGGTTTTTCCAGGCAAACAGAAAATCTGCCTAACTGACCAGAATTCTGTACGGAACCAAAAAAGAATAATATATGGAGTTTAACGCCCGCCACAAAACCACGATATGGTTATGACAGACACCGTAGCCGAGGGCTTCGGAAATTTCGACCACCTGGGGCTTTTTAGTGTGCTCCTAAATATATGCACACGGGCCTCACACATTTCCGCCTCCATCGAAAATGCAGCCGCTGATGCCGGGATTCGATCCCGTGACCTTCGTAATAGCAGTAGGCACAATAACCACTGTGGCGTGCCGGAACTATAGAAGAGAAATATAGTTTATTACAGCCTTGTAAAATGCGTGTCACATGTAAGGCAGCAATTTGTAAACATAGATTACAAGAAATTAAAAAAGAAACAGAAAAAACTTTCAGTGCGACTTTTGGTCTATACACCAAGGATGTCCACCTACAGATACAGGCAGTCATGGTGGTGCTTATTGGTTTATTGATCATTCGTTCTTTCGTCATGCGCGCTAAGCGCTGTTTTGGGAACGTACCAACTCGCGCAATCTGCGTGCATTCTTCATCGGGGCCGCGTAATACCACGGCGCGGGCCAGAGGTTGCCGACCGCTGATGTATGGAATGCACTCCTGATATACTTTGTAAGATATTTGTACAACAAGAAGGACACAGCTAAATTAAGTATTGAACGTTATACCGACAGTTCGGCTTCAAATTCACGCTATTCTGCATCGATTCCGCGAAGGCGATGGAGAGAGAAGGCAGGTGGTGCGAGCGGGTCTGCAGTTTTGCGGCCTGATTTAATTATCAAATTCAAAGGGTGTTGCTTACCTCAGTGTAATGTACGATTTTGTCATGAACAAGTCGACTCGCTCTGATGAGCACTCAAATAGTGCGACCATTTCAAAGAGGAGATAAACAGCGCCAAACAGGGCATCGACGAAAAAAAAAAAATGAAACGTTAGGACGGCCGCCCATTCTCGTGTCTTGTTTTGTTAGTTCCGCGTATACGCGCGGTTAATCTTTTCATCGAGACGTGAGCCAATCAAACGAAGAAAAAATGCCAGCTCCACCCGCAGAACTGCTGCGCGCCTGCAGCTCTTCCCCCGTTACACCCGTATACCGTGAACACTTGTGTTCATACCGTAAAGTCAACTATCTGAAACAATCGTGAAGTGCTTGACCTCGCGATAATCAGTGATATTTGATGGAGCATTCATGCGAATTATCTCTTCAAAGTGGGAAAAGCAGCGATTGCTGTGGGTGGAGCGGACTTTCTTTTTTTCTTCTTAGGTTGGAAAGGCATATAGCCTGGTTTTATACGCCGCATGAACAAGTGACAAAAAAGACAGCGATAAAGATACGCACTGCAGTGCGTATTTTCACGCTCTCGTATTCTCCCTTCGGGTTCAAGTGAACTCCGTTGCTCTCTTGCGACACAAACAAAGACCGCGGAATAAAAACAACATGTCACTTCTAAGTTCGTGGTGACATTTGATGTCGCCGTGTATATGCAGCTGTATTGACAAGACTTGAGTCGCTGATTCAGTCTGCGGGCGAGCGGGACGTATTAGCAAGAACGCGAATCTTTTGCGCTGCGCTAACTCTTATTGACTTTGGACAGCATTGCCCCGCCGCGGCGGTCTAGTGGCGAAGGTACTCGGCTGCTGACCCGCAGATCGCGGGATCGAATCCCGGCTGCGGCGGCTGCATTTGCGATGGAGGCGGAAATGTTGTAGGCCCGTGTGCTCAGATTTGGGTGCACGTTAAAGAACCACAGGTGGTCGAAATTTCCGGAGCCCTCCACTATATACGGCGTCTCTCATAATCATATGGTGGTTTTGGGACGTTAAACCCCACATATCAATCAATCAATCATTTGGACAGCATTTCGTTTACACACTTTCTTCCATGCGTGCATGCAGTGCGCATACATATACACCGTAAGCGGCTTGTCGGTTTCTTTATTTGATACTTGTACCTTTATAATATTATCTAGGGTTATACGTCCTACAACCACGGTGCGATTGTGAGAGACGCCGCAGTGAAACGCTCCTGAAATTTTGACCCTCTGGGGCTCTTAAACGTGTGCTGACATGGCACAAGCCTTTATACCATTTCGCCTCCATCTAAATTGGACCACCCCGGCCGGAATCGAACCCGCCACCTTTGGATAAGCAGCCAAGCACCATGTAGCCACTGTTCCACCGAGGCGGACGATGCTTGTATACCTTTAACGTACACTTTGTACAGACCATTATTAGTTGATCGAAACCAACTAGCCGACAAGTTCACTCTTAACCATTATCGAGTACCGGTCGTGGCGGTCGCATTTTCGATGGATGCGAAAATTCTTGAGGCCCGTGTACACAAATTTAATCCTCATCATCATCACCACCATCAGCCTCACTACGCCCCCTGCAGGGCAAAGGCCTCTCCCGTGATCCGCCAATCCACCCATTCTTGTGCCTTCTGCTGCCACGTTATACCTGCGAACATTTTAATCTTATCGGCCTACCTATCTCACGGTCTTCCCTTCATGCGTTTGCCTTCTCTGGGAATCCACTCAGTTAGCCTTAAATACCAGTGGTTTAGGGGCCCGTTAAACAAACCCAGGTGGTAGTGATTTCTTGAGCTCTCCACTACGGCGTCACTTATAATAATATCGTGGTTCTGGGATGTTAAACCCCAAGAATTGTCGTTATTATTATTATTATTATTATTATTATTATTATTATTATTATTATTATTATTATTATTATTATTGCAACATACATATATTGCGCTGTCAAGGGTATATACGGTACAGATTTGAACACTTCTTGCGGCATAACTTTGATACAGAAAACTTCATGCAGAGAATGGGCGAATCGACAGCAGGAAAAAAAAAAAGTGTTAAAGCTTTGCTAGGCATTCCTTGAACTTCTTTAAAGAGAGATCTTTTGACGAAAAATTAGAGCGCATACTTTAAAAGTGGACAAAATATTACGCAATGTATGTCATACTTTATACTTCATAGACCAACAACGTTCGACACTGCTAAAGCTCCCGCGTTATCTGTATGTGTGACATCCTGGCGAGCTACTGCAGCAAGCTCGAATAGACAGATAAGTGATTATTATGCATTGTGGGATGTTTCACGCGCGTTGAAATATTCAAAAACGTCGTTCAATGAGGCGACGGTCCACGCTTCGCCATCTCCTCGCCGGCAAGGTGTGGATATGCACCATCGAAGCATCCCTAGGTACCTTTGTGACAGCGTGTTGGCATTATATATATATATATATATATATATGTGTGTGTGTGTGTGTGTGTGTGTGTGTGTGTGTGTGTGTGTGTGTGTGTGTG